AATATGGCACAACGAAATGAAAGGCTTCAAAAGAGCTTTTCCACTTGGAGCTGATGTAGTGCTGTGGCCGACCTCCAAATATGATTAGACTGCAGTAAACACAACAATAGCAAACAATAAACAACTGGTAATTGGTGTGATCCTCTGTTCCAACAAAATCTTCCTTGATTTGCTATGAATTATGAGCATTAATGTGTCTGCTCACCATGCCCCTCTGAGGATATCAAAAAGCTCCCGCTCCGTCTTGATGGGCCTGTCTCATTAAAGGAGAAATGGAGGCCAATGTGAGAAACTGATGTACGGTGCATTCAGCAGAATAACTGGCATGAACTCACCTCTGATTCATGCTGTCTGTGTGCCTCATATAAGATCATTACACTTGAGTGAATTGTTTGTGTATGTATCAGTGTCTGCTTAGAAAGCAAGTGAGAGGAGTACAGCCCTAACACATCCCAAGTGAAGTGCACCCTCTACAGGCAACTGTTACACATTTTACATCCTTGTATAGCATCTGCAGAACTAGACTGAAGAAAATTTGCAAAGCATTTCACCTGAGAAACAACATATAGTATACCAAGTTGATTAGACACACTATATACGACTCCATTAAATATATCTATATATCTGTCGACTCTCTTTGGTATGCTCAAAACCAGGTTTTCCTGCTTAAGCTTTGCAACTCCATACATGCACCTCTTTCATTAATATGTGATGAGAGAGAAAATCTCCAAAGGCCCCAATAGGCAGATGCATTGTTTCTCTTTTAAAGTCATCTCAGATGGAAGGAGTGAACTTCAGAGCCTCAGTGAAGTGTCTAATGAAAGAAGTCTCCTCCTCCGCGGCTCCATTTCGCACAGCATATTAGGAATCTAAATGTTGACTGAAGACAGTTTGATTCTGCGTCTGTGATTTTCTTAAGGAATAAAAACAGCGTTGCGTGTTTACAGTGTAGCCATGAAAGAGCTACGAGAAGGCTCATCACTACCCGATGCCATTTTGGGAGGCGGAACGTGAGGTTCATACCACAGTTCATTTGAAAGCCATATCAAACAGAGGATTGTTTAAGACCAAGATCAAAGCAATTTCTGCTCAAAAAATATCACTAGACTATAGAAACATCCTTGTAAAATTTCTGCTTTATGCTAACAATTATTTCAGCAGTGTCTGGAAATAAAACAAACACAGTGCACGATGGGCAGAGGCATATAAAAATGACATTTCAGGACTGTTGTGGTAACTCGTGTACCTTGTTTTGTATTACATGCCACAGGAATCTGAGAGTTTAAATCACCCTGTCAGCCAGAGTTTCATCACTTGCTGTGCAACAACAACAGCAAAAAAATAAATAAAGATTCTTAAAAATAATCTAATAAAGGCTAGTGAGGATGGGAGCAACTTTCTGATTATATTAATGCACTTCAGAATAGAAACTTTGTGCTTAAAATATTTCCAGCTAAGTGGGTTCCTGAGTAGTTCCTGCATTTAAACAGTTGCAACAACAGGCGCTGTGATCATTAATCTGCTCGTAAAAATAGTTTTGATTTAAATCTAATGATTAATCACGTCAATACTACTCCTACACTGATTTACATTCATTATAGTCCACCATGTAATTTATATATACAATCATTTGGACTTTTAATAAGACCTCTAACATTAAAAAATTTAAATCTACTCTTCTACAATGTTAAAAGTCCCATCGACAGGCAGAGAGGTTGAAATGTGTTTTTCCAGCGCTAACACTGGCTCTTGGTTCAGTAGGATTGTATGTTTTTAACTAAAGCAAGTACACTTGTGTTTTCTACGGAGCGCAGATAAAAGAAGGAGATGCCTGGGAAAGATAAAACCATATATGTTGCTCTAAATGTTGAGATATTGAAAAGAAGCAGCGTCTGTATCAGCATTAGTTTTTACGCATCTACTGCTTACTTTTACTCCTGTTACTCCAAGCTTAAAATCATTTCTTATGCAGTTTGATGTTTTCTGCAGCACACATTTGACAATATATGTTGAAGCAAAGTCTGCTCGTGTGTCGCTGAGGAGAACAGTGCCACGATGAGTTATATTAAAAGTTAAAACAACATACGCATAAATTGCAGCTGAACAAATAGTTTAACTACATAATGAAATACAATTTTTAAGAAAGCACTTTCTACTAGTTTCTGTTGTGTTTGCAAAACGACTGGGGAATAATATCACCGTAACTTAACAGTAACTGCATATTATTTCCATTTCACAATCAAAATCTTTTCAACTCGCTGTTATCATGTACTTATTTAGTTGTTATATATTCAAAGTCATAAAACAGAAAAGAAAATATTACATTGCTATTCCACATATCTTCTGGGAAATATGTTAAAACTATTTGGGTCATTTTGTCAAATTTCAAGCAGATGGAGAAGTCATTTGTTTGTCTGATTGGGCCTTGTTCTTATCTCTGCCTTGTACAAAAATGTACCAAATGAGCTGGTTTAAAACAAATGTGCAACAGAGGTTAAGACCACTTAGAAGCAATTGAGACAAAGGTGGCAACGTTGCTCACAAATTTGTCACTGTCTTGACTTTACGTTGTAAACGTCCCTACTGAATGAAAGCCAAAGTCAAAGGTGAAGATGTTTGGATTGGTATCAGATCCTGTAAGATGTTCAAGAAAAAACAGCTTGAGAGAACTATCAGATTTTCTTTGAGTGTAAGTAAAAGCACTGTAGACACTGTTGTCCGTCTACAGTATGTTTTAAAGCCATTTTTACACTTTTACACAACAAAAGTTACCCGTACATTACTTATTAAAGACTGCTCTCCTTCTATGTAAGTAATTTATGTGAAACTTCAGCCACAAAAAAATCTCACATTGCAATCTGGATCTTTTAAATGAAGAGAAAAGAGTAGTAGCTAAACGTACCAATGTCAAACAAACTTAAACCTTAAAATAACCATGGCCCATTGCCTTTTCTAGTATGTGAGTACGGTATGGTCCAAATATTTCTCTACAGCACATAACTACAACACAACACTTTTAACTTTATTCACTCCCCTTATTAGAGCAGATTGCTTATCGTCTACTTCACAGAGCGCCCATATAGCATAGCTGACAGCAGTAAGGGCGAGCTGCACACATAAACCCCTCACTAACACTTTCCTACGCTAACCAGCTGTCCCCCTGTGGTTTCAGACTCGGCCAAACCTTTGAAATGTCCTTCAAGGCGTGAAAAAACAACATGCACACTGCTTTGGGTAAAATCCTATTTGTACACTATAATTACACTTTGAAAAGTTGCAAAGTCTAAAGTTTCAAGACCTTGACTTTTTCTCTTCTCATTTCGGATATTGATTGGGCTCTAAAACACATGTAAGGTTCGCTGCTCTACAGAACAAAGAGGTTTCTCATTACATGCCGTGCCTCAGACAACTTTGGATGTTTCAGATTTGATTTACTCGTGTTATCAAGGGAAGCAATCAGAGGAATTCAGTCGATATTTTTCACAACTGTGGAACCGCCGTTAATGCGCTCTTAAAAACAAAGCTACAGGCACTTTGAATGTTCTTATTAACGAGATAGAGGTTTGGAGTGATAGGTGTCCCCAATGTCTTTCATGCCGAAAAGAAAGAGAAACATCAGTAAAGCCTGTCAGCATACCACTGCGGTATGGGTTCCATCAAAAAGTAACTTTTTAAAAATTCTAAATCACCTTCGAAAATACATCCGTCATGTCAGAAGTCATAAAGCTCCAGTGAAGTAAATTAAAGTCATTAGAAACAAATAATTACACACAGCGCATATGCCAAAAAAACTGGTGTTTAGAAAAAATGTTTACAGGCATAATCAGTCAATGCCAAAAGAGAAAGATTAGTCCAGACAAAATTTGTTCTGTTGGCTGCATAATAAACATAATTACCCAGCAACATTGTTTTCACAGAAACAAACAATAACCAACATGTTAGTTTTGGCTGCAGTGCTTGTGTAAATGAGAAGAATTCCACGTGAAATTGGTGTACCATTAGTACCGACCCTGTGATCATGAAATCAGTTTTACTAATGTAGACAAGACTCAAGTACAAAAAAACCAAACCATTAAATCAGTGGTTGAAGCCTGGGTCTTGGGTCTGTTATAAAGCATGCCTTTCTGATGAAACAAAAAAATACTCCACTGTGCTTTCTTTTATTGCAGGTGTCATATATGGTATCAATAATCTAAACTGACCTTTTCCTGTGTTGCTTGTTTTCTATGCTGGGGGATGCAATGAGGGAGCCAGATGTCTGGGGCCACTCCTCCGCACAGTAATCAATAAGTATGTCCAGCTCCATATACAGCAGGTGCTCAGTCCAGCTGCTTTGAGTAGACAGAGTGAAATTGGACACACATGCATCATTGTTATTCATGCACAGTCGGAATCAGGTTTGTACGATGCTAAACTGGACACACAGGACTAGTTTCATGGAAATGAGTAGTGCACTGATGAACAGCTCTCGCTGGACATCATACAAACATATCAATACATATCATCAACATACATTATCAAAGGGAATGTAGATGTACAGGTTAAATGAGAAAAAGACTGAATGAACGCCTGTATTAAATTAGTGTCTCAAGATGCACAAGCAATAATAGCAACCTCATACAATTTATACTAATCCACAATATATCGTAAACTTACTATGTATTATATTACATGCTTATATATTTTTTATCACTATAATACTACATACTACAGTCATAAAAATGAACTTATTAAACTTAGGAGATGAAATCATTGGACGTTAATAAGTCCAAGTCGACGGGCTACGGCCTAGTTTCTTTGAAAACACTTCTAATACTTACTGAGACAGACTTGGCAGTAAGGCTTTTGTTGTTACTTATAAATGAGAATACTACAGTGTTAGAATAGGCTTATGTAGCGGGGGAAATAGAACCATTATATGAGAAATACTTCCACACTTCTAAATTTTAACAGGTGTGCGTCAGCTCAAGTGCTTACTGACTCCGCGGAGAGTGGACGATCTCGCGATAACGCTGTGTGGTTACCAGGGGAACGAGAGCCTGAAAAGTTGTTCCTGTCTGCTGTGTTTTCTCCCAGTGAAATGAATGTCACCGGATTTTCGATGGTGCTTTTATTTTTGACTGTTAGCCGAACGTACGCTGAGTATCATCGCTTATGAAGGAAATGTAGAGTCATATTAACGTGTTTTGCATTGCTGTCCATTCACGGCAAGGTGGGTGCATTTATTGGCTAGTTGGCGCTAGCTGCTAAAGCTATAGTAGCTAAACCTGTTGTAGTCCCCGTTCTTCCATAGAAGGATAGGTTTAATTAACAGAAGCTTTTGAAATGTTTACTTTATGCAGCCGTTTTTGACGTGTGGTGGATTAAAATTGGCTGGAAACATTATTGAAGTCATATGGGTTTTCCACTTTCGCCTATGGGCTAAAGCATTGACGCTTCGCGCTAAATTTCAATAACATGAGTGAGTGTTGGTTTGTACTCAAAGCAAGGGCTACTGCTCGTGTCATGTTTTTTTGCTCAGTGACCTACTCAGCGCCGCTGCTCTGACAGTTTCGTGTCATCTATGGACGTTGTGTGGGAGGCAGATATTGGTGGTGTGAGTTTAAAGATGCTTTTAATTCTTCGCAGGTACGGTCATCAGAGGAAGCTTTAGACGACATTGCCCAAAATGCCGTCACCACAAGTTCTCCAGCCGGTTCTTAAAATGAAAGTAGACGAGCTATTTCTCAACTGGTTGAGTGATCCTACAACTCAGTCAATACTCAAAAATTATCTTGATCTAATCAAAAGTGGACAGCCTATTGAATTAGGTACTGGGGACGTTCCTGATAAAAGGTCGTTAAGCTTCAATGAAAACAACAATGTGGCATCACAGAAGAACCTGGCAGAGAAGAGGCCTGCTCCCTTAAGTACACCTTTCGGCACCCCATCTACCAGTACCCTGCCTTCCCGAAGTAGCAGTAACACCAGAATGACTGGACCAAGTGGAAGAGTACTACGGAGATCTCTCAGCACAAAGAAGGTAAACTGTGTATTCGAACAATAACTCCAAAAAATATTTTCCATGTTTTTTAGTAAGCATTTAACTAATTGTTGAAAAGTTTAGCCAAAAGGTCTTAAGGTGCCACAGGAAAAAATCCACAAACATACTAAGATCCACTAAACAAGGAGTTCTGCATTGTGCCAGCTGTTAGTCCGTTTTTTTGTTTGTTTTTTTATCCTAAAGGCATTACACTGCAGACAGTTTTTGATTTACTAGTATGAAAAACAAGGTGTGCCACCCTGTTCTTTTTCTTCCTGAAACCACCTTGAGGTACTTGAGGGTGTGTTGCACAATGATTTGAATATTTTAAACTCTTTGCATACCGATAGTAAACATGTATTTAAAAGTTGAAAGGGGAACCTCTCTTTGCTTTCTGGTAAGCCAACTATAAAGCAATCCTGGCTTGGCATTTTTTTACACAACAGCTTATCAGTCTGGTAAGTTTATCTTTATAGTTTTAATGCACTTATTTGTATGTTTAACTGGCAGTTTATCTGCATATCTTTTTAGCATTGTGCAATCCATACAGTAACCTGAAATTAAATCCATATTTGCACATTTAAACCAAGGTTTTCGTGGCACAGAATGGGCCTTTTGGTGGGGCAGCAGCAAAGCGAGTATGATGTGGAACAGGAAATGCAGTCTCTATGTGTCACCTTATTTGATAGAAAACTATGGGTTTTCTTGTTATTTCTGACCATTTTAGGATCAAATAATGTTTATCTGGCTCATTAAACTCTAATTAATTAAACTAGCTGAAATCATAAACTGTTGATTTTCCAGTCAGTAATGACCCGAACAACTGCTATGCTATTGTGAGTTAAATGAATGACGTAAAAACTTAACGTACTTGCAAAAAGGACATGTCTGAGCTTGAAATTCTGGGTCAGTGTTAAAAATGCTAATTTAGCCAAAAGTGGTAGAGTTTTTGGGGCCTTTTTTGTTGTTGTTATTGTTTAGTTTTCCTTTTTGCAACATGGAAACAAGGGAGAAAAAAGAAACTTCCCTCTTCATCACACTTTATTAAACAAGATCTAAAACAACTTTTAACCAGTGCAACACTGATGCAACACACTAGATAAACATTGGCTTCTGCCACTGATAATTTACTTTAGCATCGAAATATCTCACATGAAAAGTTTGTAAACATTAATGTTATCCTCCTCCTAGTTACTTTTTCCAATCTAAAAAAAAAATTCTGTTTTAGTCATAAGTTGAGCTTTGTCATACAAAGCATACATGTCCCGTTTAATGCTACTTCTAAATGGACATAGTGTGGATTTCACTTATATTTGCTTAACATCTGTCTTTGCAATGTTTTTTTTGTAATTCTTTTTTAAATTCTGTATTAACACTGATTTAATTGTCAAGTTTCCCTTACTTGTATGTTCTGGGATCTCTGTTTGCTCTCACTGGCCACAAGAGGATGCTGAGTGACCTACAGCATCAAAGACATTTAGAGGCTGTCCACTCTACCCAGTCACAGTGGAGCCTTCTTGTCTGTAGGCGTATGTAGTGATTATTAGTCAAATACTTTCCAAATGTTCAGGCCTCACCCATGAATTAGTGTGGTATGAGAAGTGGGAGTGTCTGAACCTAGCCTGTCCCTGGCGCTCTGGTTACTTCTTTCAGTCTGTGTGCTGTACTTCTTACTGTGCTGGGTCCAAGGTGCTTTGCTTTGGATTGTTTAGATTATGGCCTAAAAACAATCTACACAAAATAGTTAGCTGCCCGTAAATATTTTGTATATCTGCTCAAGGACTCATAATCTGTTAGGATGAGAAGTGCAACGTGAAAGCCTAGAGTAGTGATAGATTGTGGACATTAGTGCATGTGATGACAGTGAGACAGCCTGAGACAGCTGGAGGCATACGGTCCTCAGGACCCCACCTCCTACATGTTAGTGACATGCTAAAGAGGTGCATGAGGAGATCTTCAAGTAGACATGTAAAATAACAGAGCAGGAGAATGAGATCTAATGTTTGTTTCAACTTACATGTTTATATATTAGAAACATGACTAGCAGGACCAGTTGTAGCACTAGTGGTAGTATGTTATAAAATAAATAACTATGCTTAACTATGGTCTTACAACTTACTGCACAGCCTTATAGGCACAGATAAACAGCGTATTTCAATAGAGGACAATAAAATGAAATTAACTAATTAAATGTCCATCAGTTTTATCTATTATAAATTTTGGGGTTGAGGTAAAACCTCATTCTTCATAGCTATAGTTGATTATTTAATAGCCTGACCACAAGAGGAAGTGTGGATTGTAGAGTCACTCTTTGAAACTAGAGTAATCGATTATCTTTAACTGTCTATCAGGGGCTTTCTTTGTTTCTGTTCTTTATCTTGAGCCTTAATCATTTGAACAGTTGGAGGGTTGAATCTAAACTTTTGGATATTTGCATACATATACACACACACACACACGCACTCTCACACACCACTGTGAAATTTGCCCGCTAATGCCCTCTCTCCGCTGATCAATCAGTTATAAGGCAACTGCTGGGCAGTTTGTATATTCTGCTGTGATGTGTCATGGCATGTGGCCACACTGTGTCACTCAATATTAGAGGGATTGTGAGGGTGAATAAATGCAATACTTCTATTTTAAGACAACAAAATGAATTCCTGCATACAGATGCATTCTTCAAAGGATTACTAAAAAATTTGATTTATGTCACACTGATGCAGCCTGGAACAGCTGGTCTGACTTTGACATCAGACACTGATATAGATAGCCTTGGTTCCCTTGTGCTGGCATTGGATACCCAGAACTCTGCCAGTGAGATGAGGTGTGGCAGCACATTCATCTTCTGCGTAATTTCCTTTGAAACTGCTTCCATTAGATGCTGCTCATTGTCAGGATATGTAGTCGCAGGTCTTTTATTTACACTATGTACAGTAAATATCAGCTCTCCCGTGAATGCTTGGCTTTCAGAGCTGCTGTGTAGCTCAACACGTAAAATCACTTCAGTGTTAGGAGTCCAATTGGTCAAACAGTGAGTTATTGAAATATAGGGCAGTGAGAGCACATTGCATTTGAGGGTTTCACTTTTTTTTCTGTTCTCCGCATCTGCATTTGGTATATCGTGCATTTCTTAAGACATCTTTTTAAAACATGCTTGGTTGCACTCAGCAACATAGAAGCTATTTGAAGCAGGGGGTCTGGGGTCACGTTATCAGTTGTCTGACCTGTCAGAGAGCACCAGGTGTTAAAGTGTTTCCCGCAAGTGCTATTATTTTGGAGTCTCAGTCATTTGTGCGTCAACGTTGTACAATAGCAAATGTTGTTTTGAACTAGTACTGTGAGCTTTCTGTAAAACTACAGGATGCATTGAAAGCATATTTCTTCAGTGGTGGCATCTCCTACTTTCATGAGATTTGAATATCTTGATAAAAAGTGTAATTGTTTGACATATTAATTCCTATTACCTAGTTATGCCATTAATGTCAAAAAAGTACGGTACATCAACATTTTATCATCCTGCTTAAATATCTTATGGTGCCAATAGAAGAGAAAAACTTTACAAACTTCCTTTACAGCCTAATCTTTAAACAAACAGACTGCAGTGCTGTTATACAAGTACCGGTGTGCCTGTGTCTCAGCTACAGCTTCTTCCTTTGCTCTACTTCTTGTTCATATTGGTTACATTGATTTTCATTCAAATATCTAGGTTAGACTGCTATGACATTTGTTACTCACATCATGTTCTGTCTGTGACCACTGTGTTATCAGTTACTCAGTTGAATGTCTGACAAATATTCACATGTATCCCAAATCCCCATCATAGATGGTCTAACTCAAATCCCAGTTGTGGGGATTTGAGTTAGAGCTTTCTGGATTTCACTGCAACACTGGCTTTGTTCTCATTCTGTGAACAAGCTGTGGCTCTACCAAAGGGTTGTGATGGTTTAAGTCGCCACTGATTGGATGTAGAAATCATGTCACTGTCAGATAGGATTGGTGGGTTTGGTCTCTTGAATATCATAGTTGTAGAGTATGAGTCTGCTGAAGCCCATCTAAAATCCACCTTCATCTTGCCATCTGAGTGCTTGAAATGCTAACACGTAGATCTGCCAGAGGTCTCTAACAGTGAACAGTGTGTTTCATAATCTCATCTGTAATTCGGTTAAGTCAACATGACTTAACATATTGTTGTGTACAAATCAGATTTCACAGTTTAGAGATTGGACACATTATGGGGTCAGCTTGAGTTTTCCTGCTTTTCTGTTTACTAAGTGACCCATCAGCCCGGGGATGTTTAGCAGCTTGTCTGTAAGATAGTTGCCTCTCAAGGTGCTGTTCAGACAACTTTCCTGGAGTGGCCCTAAGATGATTTAGTTTGTTATAGCGCCTGCTGGAGCTCGTCTTATCTAGTTAATTAAAAAGCACAAACTTTATACAGAACCTGTGCACCATCACTTCTCACACCCATGGGGTTATTTTTACATGTGTAAAACAACACATTGTTATCCCTGCTGTGTTGTGATGGCTCTGTGTATGGAACAGACTTCACATTTTGTTTGCTTATGCAAAAATAGACTGAACAGTAGATGAGAGTTCAAGCTTGAATCTGGTCAAGGGTTTGTTGGAGTGTTTTTGTTTTGTTTCTTTTGGTTGTGCTTTCCTTTCTACGTTTCATTTGTATTGAGAGCATCAGCAAAAGGCAGCTGATGTGAAATGAATGTATACAAACAGCTTATCAAGCAGCAGCAGCATCCTGTAGGGAAGACGCCAGGGACTGGGACTGAGCAGAAACCAGTGGAAAACTGTGGAGTCCTGTCATCTAAAAATACAGTGGGTGTGCTTTTAGTTTCTATGGACAATGCCATTAACAGATACAGGTTTATTTACATAGTCTTCTGATGCGGACATTTCTATGACATTTCTGTTTGATTAGCTACTTGCATGAGAAGGTGTTTAGGCGTTGGGCTTTGCCCTGTCTACAATCTCTGCAGTCAACGCAACTCTACAGCTGTTAGATCAGTGCGTTTATGGAGAATTGATGTAATTGCCGTCATTTCAGGATAACAGCAATCGGAAGTAGATGTTTGTTTGAGGACTAAAGATACACTCATGTTTTTCCAGATCTAGTTTCTTGGATTGCCCAAACAGTGCTTGGTGGTGCTTTTAATAGGCACGGACTGGTTCGGTCATCAGTCTTTGAATTTGGCATGTCCCGTTGCCTCGCTCTGTTGCCCATCAACTATAATAAGATGTGGAATGGCTGGCAGCCTAAGCTTGCGAAGGGAAGGCAAAACAAAAACCACCAGAAGACAGCATGCAGAACGTATGGGGAAAATGTATGGCTGTCTAGATATGATCTGATGAGTGGACCCTTGTTTTCTGTCATTAAATAGTAAATACCCTTCTTATTTACTTTACATACCCATGCATCAGTAGCTTGTTCTGGCTCAATCTCTTTTTGTGATCTATGCTTGGAGGCAAATTTAGTGACAGTAGAAGTAATATGCAGCTTTCATTATATTCCATCACTTCAGGGGTTTATTCTGAATTTTCTCATTAGCACCCTGATGCCTTTTAAAGAATAAGGGGGTCCGTTTCCCAAGTTTTTTGTTTTGTGGAAGCTTTCAGAAGGAAAACCATTTAGCTTGAACAGTGTGACATTGTCATATGGAGATCCATCCTGTAGTTGAACTCTGGCGACTGCTAGCTGCAACAACAGGTCTGTCTCTTTACATAACCTTCAATGAGGACTCAGGAATGCAAACTGGAAAGGGCAGATCCATTGAACCCCCTCCCATCCCACACACACACTAGGTGACTCCCACACACATGCACCCAGTTCTTCCTTATCTCCCCAGCAGCTTTGAGGCAAGGGCTCCCTGACACTGCTGCGTCTGTGTGTGTGCGTGTGCATGTTGGGTAGAGGCTGGGACAGAGCAGCAGGCTGAGCTGAAATTGTGAGACCAGATCTGGAATGGGAGAGAGAGTCACAGTAGCAGCTGCTCTCATGCATTAAGTGGCTCTCACTCAAACGGAGGACAACCACAGGGACATACGCACAGAGAAGCTTCACTGCTTCCACTGCCTTTTAACTTACAGTGGTGACTGCATGGTCAAGGGGATAACGCTGGATTGAGTGTTGTTTATGTTTATGTGTTCCTCGTCCTGTGTGGAGCGAGGATGAGGATGAAGGAGCTATCCCTGCGTCAGGACCCTGACCTGAGGAAGGAGCTGGCTCTGCTGGCACGTGGATGTGACTTTGTTCTGCCCTCTCGGTTTAAGAAGAGGCTGAGAGCCTTCCAGCAAGGACAGGCAGGTGTTTGTGTGAGTGTATGCTGTGTCAAACAGGCTTTGCTGGCCTTTCAGTGAGGGGACAGGTCTATTAATGTTGACTGGTATTTATGGGCTTACTTTCTTGGTATTCAGATGTCACTGTAGCACAATTACTAATTAAAGTACAATAACGGATTAGGCAAATAAAGGCAAAGTAGTAGTTAAGTCTTTTTCTGGGCATATTGTAAACTTTGCTTTCACGCACAGCTGTGTCATGTGAAATATTGTTGTGCAATCAGTTCTTCTTTTTGTTAATGAAGGTATTCTTCATTTGTACGGAGATGTAGGAAATTTAAGCGTACTGGATGGTGTTTCATCTTTTGTGGTATGTTATGCACAGCTGCCTCTCTGTCCTCTTTCAGACCACATCATGGGGAATATGTAAAATGTCATGTGGCTTAGCAGTTGTGCTCAAGAGCTTTGCTAGCGGTTAGCATGAAGTGAGAGAAAGAGGGGACAGTGCGGGGCAGGGCAACGGGAGATGTTTATGTCCTTTTATAGCCATGGCTCACACCAACACAGTTGACAAGAGCGGAGGATCAGCAGCATTCATCATTTATTAGAGTACAACAAAACATTTTCAGACAGTACTAACAGTCATATAAGTAGAAGCTGGCAAGGAAAGATTTACCATCCTGTTATGTTTAGATCTGTAATTTAAGGCCTTTCTAAGCTATTGTTGAATGTTTTATTGTTACAGTCATGATGTTACATGGAGACTTAGTCTAATAAACTTTGGGTAGAATACATGTTTGACCAAAAGAAACAGCAAGATGTTATTTTTGGTGTCTTAACTGAGCAAAGTGTGGGTGTGTTTATGTAGTTATTAGAGGCCTCACAAAATGATTCGGTTAGAGCATTGTTGACTCATTTGAATAGTCTTTGAGAATGACGATTGAGAGCAAAGTATAGTCTGCTCAGGCTGTATTTAGTAACTGGGTTTTTGTTTTGTTTTTTAAATGTAACCTTTATTTATACAGGTAGTCCCAGTGAGACTCAGTGTCTCATTTACAAGAGAGACCTGTTTCAAACAAACATTAAAATTACAACAATAATAAAATGGCAATAAAATAGCAACAATAAGAAGTAGTCTAATGTTTACACAGTCATTCAAGTTCCTAGTGATGATTTTACAAGGTAATTTGTACGTCTTTTAAAGTCTGCATAGTGATAAGTGCAGCATAACAACTCATTTGGCACTGAGCGCGTTGTCTTTTTATGTGTAAGGCTCATAGCACCGTGTGAGTGACACAGTGGTCATTTTTATCAGTGAGTTTGATATCTTCCTAATATGCCAGCTATGCTCTGTTGGTGTGGTCAGTTGGATTCACTGTGACATTCCTGGACATAATATTATGTCTCCATTGTTAGAATAGAGAATATGTTATTTTCCATAGTCAGGAAACACATGTTTTCATGGTTAAACAAAGCATAAATGAACAAAATAATATTATACAGCACAAGCAACCAAGCTCTGACAATAAAAAATGATGTTTTCTGCCTGGGATCATAGTAATAATAACAGACACAGACGTATGCAAGCTCCAACATAAAGGCAGGTTTTTATATCACTTAGGAAACTGCACAAACACAAGCATCGAAGGTGAATACATTCATTTCAAGCCACTAGCCTCTGCTGTGTTCAGAGTATATCCCTGACTTAATCCTGTTTCAGTTTTGTTTCTTGCCTATAATATCCTGCCAATAAAACAAATAAACTTTATTTGTATAACATTTTTTTCAAGACATAACTCTAAAGTGCTTCGTAGAACAGAATAAAATAGATCACAGTCAATAATAAAGAAGAAAAATACCCACAGCTAAAACAAAAACAAATAAAAAAGGCAGGCTTTCATTTTTCTGTTTTTAAAAAGCTGTTGCTCTCCTTTTGAGGCACACATTCATAACATTGCAGTCCGAAACTCATTTAGTTCCTCAGCTGTGTTTCCCTCCACTAAAGACAACCATAGTGGCCGTAGACGAACAGCACTCGTTTAAGTGATAACACTGTCACTCGTGATTTACTTGGGTACTTGAAAGAGCCATCCATAACATCTGCCATGAACCATGTTTGATAGTGTGCCTCTCCATTTACATGCATTTATTAGGAAGCTTGTAGTAAAATCTTGCAATTATTTTTTTCACTTCTCTTTACATGGATCCTAACATTTAAGATAAAATCTTGAAATTCTGTGTTTTCCTTAAGTGGAAACAAAAGTAGAGCAGTTTTAAAATGACTTATTAAAACACACTTGTTGTTTTAAGTCACCATGTTTACATCTGAATCACAGTGCACAAAGATTGCAAGACTAAATTTAGTATAATACCCTATTGTAGTTGGCCACAGGTAGCCTGTAATCATTATTCAGTACAAACTGCTCATTCTCCATTAAGATTTCAAACAAAACACCCTTTAGACCAATCATTTGACTAATGTAGCACAAGTTGTCCACATCATGACTATAGACTTCTACTATCTGCAGATTTTAAAGCCCTAAATTCTTAAATCCTTTTGACACTGTTTCATAAATAAATGATTATAAGTTACAAACACTGGTAGATATTATTTATCTTTTAGTGAATTTGTATTGGAGCAAAATGTCAATCACATGAATAATTGTGATTGCTGAGTAGTCACAACTCTTCCCTGATGGCCTTTGGGCTGCTGAGAGGTATAGTTACATGAATGCCAGCAATGTGTAGAGTTTGTGTTCAGACGAGCCTCGAGCTCATGCTGGAATACTTGAGCTGAGTGGTCTTAGCCTTTGCTAGCATCAGCCGCTAACTGCTTGTTTCTCTGTGTTCATCCCAGGCTCAGGTGAGGACGGAGGAGCCAGTCACCACAGCACTGAGTGAAAGCATTCCCAAGTTTTACTTCCCACAGGGCCGTCCCCAAGCCAACCTTAACATTGACGGCCTCATTTCCAAAATTGAGAAAATATTTTCCCAATTCCCAAATGAAAGAGCCACCATTGAGGATATGGGGCAGGTTGCCAAGGTGAGTAGATAATTTGTAGCATGGAGCTGCCACACAGCAAATTATTTTCATTAGTGCCATTTAGCTCCTGACTGTACGAATGTTTGCTGATGTTTAAAACCTCCTGGAAAAATATTATTTCCGTGACCTTGAAGAAGGTTGGTGATGGTCAGAGGGGAACCTGAGTAAAGAGAGCAATGACAGCTAGGTTTCCTCTGGGAAGTCTTTAAACCGTGAAACACTCATTCTGATTCTGATGTCTTTTCACTATTCATTTCTGCATTAATGGTCACATGTGTTTTGTGGAGTTTGCATTTCTATTTAATCTTTCTCCTCTATCTTCTCTAAATCCTGATCACACACTACCCCGTTTCTTCTGCCACCTTGTCTCCATAGGCCTGTGAGTGTCCCCTCTACTGGAAAGTGCCATTGTTCTGCTCAGCTGGAGGCGACAGGACGGGCTTCGTGTCCGTTCACAAGTTTGTGGCTATGTGGAGAAAGTAAGACAATAGCTTCTCTTATTGTCACTAGACCACTGGTGCATTCACTCACAGCCAAATGGCTTAAACAATCTCCTTTGAACAATGATGACCACTCGCTGGGAATAACATACACTGCTATTATCTCTGCTGTTATTGCATTTTCCTTTTCATTCCTAAACAAAAATCTTTGCCCTCATAAACATCACAAGGGGAAAGACCCTCTGTATACATACAGTGTATAAATGAAAACATCCTTTCAGTGTCTTTCTACGTGAAACTGAAAGGAATACCAAGGGGCTTTTATACTGGTGATTTGCACTGAATGTGGTTGTGTGCAATAGGCATGCTCTTGTATTAATATCTTAAGCCTCCAGAGAACTGGACAGACTTGCCCTTTGACTTTAGCTCATGACTGAGCCATTCTTAGAAGAGGCCACAACAGACACTCCCATTATTTTTGAGTTGCTACCATAACACTCCATGCTTATAATCACCCAGCAGCGATACAGAATCTTAATTTCAGAATGTATTATACTTTCACATAAGCACTTTTTAGTACAACATTGTCAAACTTATGCTTTTGAAGGAATGATAAAACAGACAGAGGCAACTTAACAGCCAAAGTGGGAGTAACCTTGTAACCATCTGTTCTCTCTTTTCTCCTCCAGAACTCTGCTGACCTGTCATGATGACGCTTCTAAATTTGTGCACCTCTTGGCCAAGCCTGGCTGTAATTACCTGGAACAAGATGACTTTATTCCATTCCTGCAGGTACTGGCTGTAGCACACCCAGGGAGAGGGCTGGATTTGGCAGTGTGGGATGGCAAAATAGCATTGGCTTGGGTGGTGCAAACTGGACGTATGTTTTTAGACTGCCCTGCTGAGACTGTGCTTTTTCATGTGGCGGAGGACTAATTCAGCCACCTTACTGTAAGCTTGGAATATAGTGTTATGAGAGAAGAGTCTCCTGATAGAGATGAAAATGTGGCTCATGTTATAAATGCATTATGGTACTAAAATAGTCACAAAAACCTGGACTTATGGTTCATTTATTGTCCTCAAACGAGAGGTTTAATTGACTGTTTGGAAATTCTTACCATGTGGACCTGCTGTGGCGGCTATTTGTATTCGCATCCCAGCTGACAAGCTGTTGGTGTGCCACACACGCCCCACCCTACACCTGATTCATTTTCATGCTGGCAGAAGTGGCGATCTGAGCTGAACGCCCGTTAGCATACAACCAGAGATGCCTTGTGGCTCACGCCGTTTAATTTGTGTGGTTCCACTCAGCGAATCGCCTTTGACTGTTTTGATGAATGAAAGGCGGATTGCAGTGGAGTAGATTTGACTGTCCCCGCCTGTTTCCTGTGCCCTGTGATTTATGTGTTTCTCTATGATTTAATTTCTCACAGTAAGAGTCAAAGAGGCACGACGACTGCCCTGAAAATAAGGCCTTTTAATTTCATTGCCGCCTTCACATTTATGTCAACAATTCTTTCCTCCAGTAGAAAGATGGGGAGTAGAATAAAGAAGCGACATGAGGGAGTTTCACGGCAAGAATATAGCTGCAGTGTTCACTTGAAATGCAGCACCCTCACTGTGACTTTATGGCGTTAGAAAGGAGAGAAGGTCACTCAGTAAACATATTCTTTTTGGCCTTCCTAACACTTTGTCAGTTAAAAAGGGCTCAAGCTCATCCCGAAACAAGTTGGACGAGAATTTTAAAAAATTTGTAAATCAAAGAAAATTCTGATTTCCTAAAAAGGAGAATTTCTTTACATAGCACTGTTTATAAACTATAAACACTGGCAGCTACTGATGTGTGAATCAGTTTTGTTCATTTTCATTCCTTCTTTGAAAGTCATGTGCTTTGTATACCTGTAAAGAAAGACAGATGTTGTCTGTCATTTAGCTGGTGCCTGGAAATAACTGCAGAATTTAACTGAGCGTATCTTTTTGTTAGTGCAGAAGGCATAGCGTGTCATCGGGGTGATCTTTATCGCTTGGTTGTTTGTTTATTTTGTTTTTGTTTGGCTTTATAAATCAAGCAGAGTAACATCAAAGTGAGCTGGTTTGTTCTTTATGTTCCCAGGATGTAGTGAACTCACACCCGGGCCTGGCCTTTCTAAAAGAGGCACCAGACTTTCACTCGCGATACATCACAACGGTATGCCTTAATTATACACCACTGCACTTTGTAGTGAAACACGGAAATGGCATTCTCTCAAAGATAAGACTGTCCATTGTTTTTCAGGTGATTCAGAGGGTATTTTACAATGTGAACCGGTCATGGACGGGGAAAATAACATGTTCTGAGCTCAGGAAGAGTAACTTTCTCCAGGTATTTATTCACATACTCTGCTTTTTTTTTTTTTTAATTTAAACAGATGTATAATAACCATTTCTCTCAATTTTTTTGGACTCTAAAACATCTAATATGTTTTTTTCTCTTTTCAAAAAATAATAATGAAATCACATCAATATGGAAATGCATATTAACTTCAATTTTTGGGGGATGGGACTTTATAAACTGTTAAAAGAATCATTTTCAATAGTAACTGGTCTATAATCATAATGAGAGATTTTTCTACTTTCTGCTGGGTAGAACGTGGCGCTGCTGGAGCAAGAAGAGGATGTGAACCAGCTGACAGAGTTCTTCTCCTACGAACATTTCTATGTTATTTACTGCAAGTTCTGGGAGCTGGACACCGATCACGACCTCTACATAGACCAGAAGGACTTAGCAGGACACAATGACCAAGGTGCACAAACACACCCCTGCCTTTTTTAAATCATTAGTTTGGTCAATATAGTTTTTTTCTTTATGTCCCATCAACATGTATTTTGTAAAAATGCATACAGAAGATAGAAGAGGAGTGCTCAGCCTCATCAGAACCAAATGAACTCTGCTTAAGTCTTGCTGCCAGTGGCAGCACAGTCAGTAGGCTGAAACTACATAGAACAAAAAAAGGCATTTGTAAATGTTATTGGGTCCGTCCGGGCTTACTCCTCACAAAACAAACACACAGCCAGGAAAAAAAGATTTGTCTTTGACACTTCCTCCCCACACACTCCACACCACATGTTCTTGGTTGATGGTCTGTGAGTGAAGCAGGGGAAATGAGACACGAGATCAATAAGAGAGCAGCATATATACTCGATTCCAATGACGCCAAGTCTGGCACAATTTCTAACACCGTACAGTCGAAATGATGACCAGAGGATTTATAGCATTGTCAAGCTAAAAAAGAGCTGCACTAGCCAGTCTAGATTTACAGACTGTGAGAATGGATTACATGTGTTGTGAAAAAGTTGTATAGTAACTGAAGGAGCTGTTGCCTAAGAGGGAAAAGAGATATTTCTTCCAAACACAGTGGATTGGAAGTGACCCCTTTGTGTATTTGTTTTCCAGCCATTTCACAGAAGATGATTGAGAGAATATTCTCAGGAACAGTAACAAGGTAAATGTAATCAAGTTTAAAAAGATGAAAGTCTTATCTAGTCTCCACTGCCAGCTTTAATACTAGTTTTGTGTGTTTTCCGTCAGGGACAGACGAGTGTATAAGGAGGGGCGGCTGAGTTACGCTGATTTCGTCTGGTTCCTCATCTCTGAGGAAGACAAGAAGACTGACACCAGGTATCTTGACACTCAGCCACACTGATTGCGTCATCCTTTTGCTTAGAGGTTTCATCTGCGCTCATGTCTGGCCCCTCCTCTTTCACGTTATCTATGTCTGATTAGCATAGAGTACTGGTTCCGCTGTATGGACCTGGATGGGGACGGGGTGCTCAGCATGTATGAGCTGGAGTACTTCTACGAGGAGCAGTGCCAGAAGCTGGAGGCCATGGCTATTGAGCCGCTGCCCTTTGAGGACTGCCTCTGTCAAATGCTTGACCTTGTCAAGCCTGAGGTCGAAGGTCAGACCTGTTTTACATTAATACACACTCAGACATTCACATTGTAGTTTGCACGCATGCCACAATCACAGTGGCATGCGTGCACACACATTTTGAAGCCAGGTCATTGATCATTATCTGAGGGGACACTGATAGATGAGAGACAGCTGCTGGTGTTATCCACAGTGTGATAGAAATTCGCTCCATCACTTTGTTTAAGTCACCAAGCAGCACAGCTTACTTAGGTGAAATTAAGTTTATGACCTGAATTGTTTTTTTTAAAAAAAAGTTTTGTTTTCAGGTTTCTTCTTTCTTAATTTAATATAATCAAACAGGAAAGTAAACATTAAGTATAGTTTACCTTTTAAAGTATTTATTGTCCAAATAAGCAGTAGGGAAATCGTTATTTGCAGCCAGAGTTTGAAATATTGTCACCAAAGCCATACTCTGTTTTAATCTCCGGACAAAACACCACACCCATCCCTCCCTCCGCCCCAAGATGAGGCAAACCGTAAAAAGACTTAGTAGATGTTGTAGCTGGGTTACCAGTACTACTTCCTAGGCTAAACCTCATATAGACAGATACAAGTTACCTAATATCATAAACATAAATGTTCCATTTGAAGTAGCTGATTTTTGTCGTCCAGGTAAGATCACTCTGCGGGATCTTAAGAGGTGCAAGATGGCTCATATCTTCTTTGACACGCTCTTCAACATCGAGAAGTACCTGGACCACGAGCAAAAGGACCCGTTCTCTGTGATAAGGGTGAGCAAGATTGAATTCTGACTGGATGCCACCACATTTGACACAGCATCGTGTCTCGTTTTCCTGCCAGTGGATCATGTAACTTGTCGTGTTTTTAAGGACGTGGAGACGGACGGACAGGAGCTGTCAAACTGGGAGAAATATGCTGCAGAGGAGTACGACATACTGGTAACCGAGGAGGCAGGCAATGACCAGTGTAACGATGTGTAAGTGTGATGTTACTCACAGGTCTGCCAGAAATGGCAGCAGTTACAACCCAAGGTTCAGTTTTTCTCAAACATTTAGTTTTTCTTAAGCAAAGATAAAAGAAAAAAGGATTCACTTTCATGTCCACTCGTAGTCTTAAAAAAAAGTTCTTTTCTTCTTACAAATTCAAAATGCTTTTACATTTAGGACGGCACCAGAGGTCTCTGAAGTTTGATGATGAATAGCTGATGCAATATGATAAATTGGAATATGGTAGCTTTAGCCTCCTTGTTTGCAATTGGATGTTTTTTTTGTTCTCATTGGTGCAAAAAATGAGAATAAAACTGGGATTGATTTTGCTTGCAAGCCTGAACAACAGCAGCTGAAAGTCGTAGTGCCTCCAGTTTAATTTGAACTTTTCCCCTTTGAGGCAATTACTGATTATTTTATCCTTATTTGAGTATTATTAATGCCATCTGTATGATGGTTCCTTTAATGTAATCTGTTCACATAAGATGGAACATGAACTGTGGCTATTAGTAAGCATATATCTGATTACTTAAAGTTGTTTTGGACAGCAGGCACATAACCTTAAGCTTGACTATGTAAATCTAAAATTCATCATTATTATCAGTAAAGTCATTTTTCTGTGTGAAGAGTGAAAGTGTGCTGTAAAGTATTCACAGATGGCATAGATAAAGTCATAAGATGAGTGAGAGTGCACTGTGTTGTTAAGTTTTCAGGAGTCATGGCTCAATGCCGCCCTGAGAGCGAGTTTGTGATAAATGAGACTGTTGACAGCTATGTTGTGTGGCGGTTTTAGGAACACTACCGACTAAATCTAAAGCATGGCTGCTAACCAGAGCAGGTAAGAAACTGAGGGTGCCACCAGGGTTCAGCTGTTCTCCTCTTCTTCCTCTGGGAAAGTCTAGTCCTAAACCCACTCCTAGCGTCTACCTGTCCCATCACTGATCTGATCATAGGGCAGATAATTGTAATGTCAGCCAGCAGGGTGTCATGATCGTGGCCACTGCCTGGACCTGGGAGTCTGTTTTTGAACCGGACACCTTCTGTTTTTATCCTTCTTCCTCTTAAAATAAGGGAATGAACTTTTTCCACCTCTGTTCATGCCTTGTGCTCCTGTTACCCAAGTTACTGAAAAAGTACTTTGACATTTTTGGGGAATATACTTTCTTGCTAAGAATTAGATGGGAATACTTGTTTCTCTAAATAAAGATCCAATCACCCTCACCCCTAAAGCTAATAAACCGATAAACTTTACAACTAAATCAAAGGAAAAATAATACAAATTTCTCGCTTGTTATATTGATATCCTGGTACATTAACTTCATCTAGCTCTCTGAAAGAAGGCAGATATATATATCAACCATGTCTCCAACGTTTCTGTAAATGTTGGTCAAATTCAGTTTTATTCTTGAATGACTTTGAATGACTTCTATGGGTCGAGGCCAGTATAGAAGCTGTGAAGAAGGAACAGGTGGAGGGGAAAATTGACTGGCCTCAGTCAATGTCAGAATGCATTCTGACGTTTTTAGAATGGAAATATGAGGCTTGATCAGCTGTTCTTTCCAAAGTTTCACTGTCACTGTTCTAAACTTTGCCTGTGAATTTTATCCCACATTGCTAAATTTGAAAGAACAGGAGGCCTGACAGCAAAGAAAAACTGGTCTGACTACTTCTGACTTCTGTTTCGTGACGGTTTAAAATGTGTTAAAGTATCTTTTCCCTGATGACACTGAGTGTTTTGTCTGTGTGTATTTTTGTTTAGGTATGAAAATCCGCTGAGCCCTTTAGGGCAGCACATCTCCAGTGAGCTGGGTCTGACAAAGAGACACTTCTTTGAGATCCCCACCCCGCACTGCAACCTGGACTTGGATGAATATGAGTATGACGATGACTTCGAATGATTTTTGTTTTTGTTTTTTATCCTGCAGTGTAGCTGCTGAGCACCTTCCACTCTCAGAAACACAAGTCATGCACCTGGGTTAGTGGACAAACATCACCAAACAGAGTAAACCAGAAAGATGCAGTCAAGCACTGCCAGAGTGCCATATTCTTTTTCTGCAAACAGATGGAGAAACGTGCATGCTGACACAGATTTGACAAAGAAGTCGTTAAAGTACAGACAGTAGTTCAATACTGAACCAGACGTTTTACATTTTCACACTTACAGTAAACAGCCCGGCAGACAAGATGTCACGAGTGAACACGTTAGACCTTTGCTCCCTCCCCACACATTAACAAGTTGTTTTCTGCATGTAATGGTTGGTCATCAATAATGTTTGGGGCAAGTTTTGTTTCATCTAAACATAAATGTTTTGAAATCAGTCACATAAAAATCACACACTGGAGCTCCGGGAGTTTTGGTTGTTTGTTTTTTTTCATTTTGTTTTGTATTTTGGACAAAAACCATGCTGATTGGATTCAGATATCGAACTTATTGGCTAGTCTTACATTCCAGTGATCACAACAAAGTGTTTTCTATATTGCTGTAAACTCGTCAGTGCAGTTGGAGGTTGCTGTAAATGCCAAACAAGCCACCGTTAAGCCTTCTGGACACACACACAGGCACACACACACACACACACAGCATCTGTTGTACAGACCTATATTCGTTATGACTTTAATGTGTGTGCGAGATGGGGTTATAATTTATTAGAGATAAATTTATAAATTAATGTAAATATTTATTTTGTGCTTGCTGTGCTGTAAATGTGATTTGAGCAAGTATTTTAGACCTTTTTTTTCTATGTCACAGAGTACTTCAGTTGACTACTTTGACAGAACAAAAGGAACCATTTTCAAATGTTTTGTGTTTCTTTAAATTAATAATAAAGCCTTGGTTAATGGAAGACTAAAGAAAACAGAGTGTGCAGTTTAATGTGGTGCGTGATGTAAAGAAATGCTTTTTGTTACGTTCAGTGTTGTACTTTATATGAAGGAAACATTTTTCCAGTCATCTGTTGTCCAGTTTGGGGGAGGTTGTGCAAATCATAGCTAGTTTTAGCTGACAGGAGTGGTCTTCTGCTGCTGTTCACAGATGCTTTTCTGCATACCTTGATTATAACAAGTTATTTGCGTTACTGTTGCCTTCCTATTCAAAGCAGTGTGGTCATTCTCTTCTGACCTCCGATATCAACAAGGAAGTTTCGCCCAGAGAACTGTGACTCACTGGATATTTCATCTTTTTAAGACCATCTGTAAACCATAGAGACCAGCTAATACTGGCACCAGCCTGTCTGGCACCAACAACCACGCCACACTCAAAGTCACTTAAATCCTTCCCATTCTTATACCCAATTTGAACTTCAGCAGGTTATCTTGTCCAGGTCCTGCACACACCGAATTGCTGATTTGGAAATTTGAATTAACGTGCGGTGAAAAAGATGTAGCTAACACAGTGGCTGGTAAGTGTATCTGTACCAGCTGAAAATTATCTATATCACATTTCAAGTGTTTGCGCTGTTTGTTAGTGATAAGAGAATACCATTTACTAGATTAACCAATGTTTCTGTGCACAACAATACATAAATGTACAGCTGTTTCAAAAAGTAACAAAGTGCTTGTTAACTTATTCCAAGTATATAATATATTATTAACTTGAAGGCAATATTTTTTTTTAATTTACATTAATTGATATTAAATACATAAGTAGCAGGTATCAAAATAAAAACTACAATTCTTAACTGACCCTGTGTCCAATAGGAAAACTAAAAGAGAAAGTATTTAGTGTCATTTTTAAAAATCAAGTATTTTTTACAGTAAAGCTGTATGTTTAAAAAAAATAAATAATAATAATCTATGCACATACTGATACAAATGGTCCTCAAATTAAAGTGGTCTGTAAATCATAACACCAGATTAATCCTGGTGTTGGTCATTATTTTTCCATTAAAAGGCCAAAACCAACAATTTGTACTTCTGGTCCCTGAATCAGCCAGTTTGAATCACTCCACTCAAATTGCATGTACAGTTTCAGAAAATGTTCCATCTTTTTTTAAATGATCCCAAATTGGATTATCTTTTTTTTTTTTGTAAGACAACCTCAGTTGTTTACTATAGCGCTATATAAATAAATTTTACTTACTTACTTAAACATCTGGGAAGTCCAGTGTTGGGGAAACTTTACTGAAACAGCAGTTTGTTGGTAATAATATAAGGAACTATTTTCAGCTGTGGATTAAAACACATTTGTTGTGGTTTTGGTCTTTGCATGGCAGAATATGGCCACCTTTATCCTTTCTGATCACATCCTTCTGAAAACATGACATGCTGCATGATCACTGTACAAAAAAACCCCACCAGTTTCTATCCACACACAGAGGACACTGGTAACAAGGTGCATCATAAGTAAAACATCTGTTGAGGTCTCGTCATGCAGACGGCAGCACCGATTCTCCCGACCACCTCACACTCACAGCTCAACCTCCACGGTACCATCACCATCATCTGGCTCCTTGGTGACACAGATTACAGATCCCTCAGCGTGCAGTCTTTTGGGTGGAGGATCCAGAGGGACAGAAAATGGATCTGTATCAGCTGCTTTCTCCTGATGGCTGATGAGAGAGGTCAGGTTACAGTGATTCATGTGAGACCTGCTTCGTAGCTGGTTTGAAAACACTTCACTTGGGCTCACCTTGGGCTGCAGCTCGGTTTGTGCACCTTGCTGACTTTGGACTCACCAGGGCTAAACAGACTGGGGGACTTTCTTCCTGAAAATAAAAAAGGATACACACCTGAAGCAGCTGGTGATGGTGAGGAAATCACTCTGTGCTTGACTGAACTCGGCTCTCCTACCTTCCCATTTTTGTTTGGAGAAGGGCAAGCGATTGGGCAGGTTGGCCTTCCTGTCCGAGCTTACGTAGGATATGGCGTCCTCCCCCTCGGCTACAGCCAACAGGGATGCGCGATAGTAGATGAGAGGCTGCCAGCACTCCTCCCTGAGGTCAATAATGTGCTCAGCAGTGTGTTTTTGAAGGTAGGAGAACCTGCACAGACATGAGCAGCCTTCAGAGGTTTTTGTTTTTCTTTAAAAACCATTTAAACTCCTGCTTGTTGCTTTCAGCACTCACACTGCTTTCTTGTCTGGTCTGAGCAGTTTGCTGGAGAACTCGCTGAGGATGGTCAGGTAGGAGAGGTACAGTGGTGTAGATGAGTCTGGAGTCTGAGTAAAGTCTTGGAACACAAACTCGATGCCGTTCCTAAACATGTATACACACAGACTTTAGGAACAAAAAGGAAAAATATCAGCAAAAAGTAACACAAAAAGAAATTAGGTCACGTGCCAACCTGTGGACCAGGACGACACACTCACGAAACTTGACAAGGTCCCCAAAGGTGAGGGCGAATCGCCTGGCTAGCTCTTTAATGCTGGTGAAAGTCTGGACTCCTGGGTGAGGCCTGCCGCCGCTCTCTTGCTCCTGCTTAAGGCGCACAAACAGCTGGCAGGTGCACACGACAGCACATCAGTATCTCGCTGCCTTCTAGTGACAGTTTGGGGCTGAAGTTTATATTTTTCAGTGACAATACCTGCTGCAAACAGAGCACCAGTGTGCGAGCACTCTCTATTTTATCCATCTGCCTGGTGCGATACACAGTCTCCTTGATGATGTCTCCAAAGTCATTGTAATACTGCGGACAAAGAGGGAGACGATGACACTTGACATTTAATCCAAAGATCTTTAGTGAAGCAACAGCAGCAGCATTAAAGCGCTACATTTGATTAAGGCAACCCAAACATCCCTCCATAAATAAAAATGGTTTTTAAGTGCACCTTTATGTCCTGATTCAAGTACCCAACCATATTCATCTTTTGTAAGTCACAAAACCACATGAAGCTAGATGGTTAAAATAGTATTTTGGGGATTTATTGATCATGCATTAGGAACACAAACTGAGGCTGAGTTGAATATCTTAGCACAAAAACAGAGGGAACAGCCTTGGTGTGGTTCAAAGGCAATAAAATCCACCCAGCAGCACCCTTAAAAGTCTCTGTTTAACATGTTATATCATGTTAGTTCAATACCCACAACGATTTGTGTTTTTTTCTAGTTATGTGCTAAACTACTTCTTGGATAAGTTAGTAGAAAAATCTTCTTACAAAGTCTAGACTGTATATAAAAGATGGATGCCACCCATTGGTTTGTGGATCATCACTGTTTTGATGTATCAAAGTTAGAAATTTTGGCTAGCACCATTTTTTTTCCCAACCAAATTTGCCCAAGAGGGTAAAGCAAGGGAGTTATTGCCTAATGCTGCCACTGGCTAGTTAGCTTTGTCAGCAGATGATTCCCTGTGATATTAAATGAAATGCTTATTTTGGCTAATATGAAACAGGCTTAACACAAAACTAACTGAAGAAACTGAAAAGGTCCTTTAGAGGGTTTTAAACCCAACTGGATGCTGAACAAGGCCAAACAAACCACAGATATTATAAAACAAGACTTTATTTCCACACGCAACCTAAACAACACAAGATTATAACATTAACCATAATTTAAGAGAGTTTAATGAAACATCTTTAGGTTTTCACTGGTTTCTGAAGGCCCATCACTGCCAGATATGTACACGGAAACTCGATTTGTTTTACGCATGTGTACTTCCTGTCACCACAACACATTATAAGAAGTTGTCTTCTTGCTAGTGTTGGATTAAAGCTGCTGCACTTTTGTTCAAAGACACCTGTATATTATGTTCACATCAATATAAATATTACAAAAAAATATACATGTCATTTTTTTTGCTTGTTTACACAAAAAAAATAATCTAACTTAATTATATTACCAATCTCTTTGTGTGTGTGTGTGTGTGTGTGTGTGTGTGTGTGTGTGTGTGTGTGTGTGTGTGTCTAAATAATAATAGCTCATGCAACTATCAGAATGTTTAAAATCAAATAGTGTATATATTAACAACCTTTATTTTGAAAGGACAGAACAGGAAGAATCACTCCTCGCTACTCAAAAGCTTATTAGTGCTCTTCCCCATAATGTCACACTACTCATTTGAGGAGTTCACCTTTACCTTCATGTAGTACATGAAGACCTCTGCTGCCATGCTCATCTCCAGCACTCCGTGTATTATCAGTTTGCAGTAGGCTGCGAGCACATTTCTCCATTTGTGAAGGTCCTCCAGTTTCTCCACTTGAGAGTTTTCACTGACTGAGAGCCCAAAAGCAGGCAGGGCGTGCGATCGGTCACGAAGTGGTGGAACGCCAAAGAGTGATTAATGATGAGAAGTCATATAACAGAAAGAAAAGAACAAAGCAGACACAGGAAAGAGTGTTTTAGTTGGTTTCAGGACAATGGCTTTAGCAGGTGGATATCAAAGATAACATAACGCTGGAGTTATGGTTGTGACACCATGTGGCTTCAATCTTTCACAAGGCTAATAAAATAGGCTCGGAGGTAAGCCAGAGTTAATGGAATTTTCTCACGGAAAGAGATTGCCCTGATTTTATGATTTAACTCAGTGCCCTTGCCCTCCGAGTGATCTCTGATCCAGCAGCTAATAGAAAACACTGTCTATAGAACAAAATCGTTACCAGGCAAATCCAATAAAACAATAGCTTTTTATTACATGTTCAAAAACCAATAATCCTGTATCGTATTTGGTTGAACATTTAAGAGATTCCCACCAGGACAGTTATTGACTTCTCTAGACTATCCCCATATTTGGATGCAATATGTCTCTGAAAGCAGACGCTATACTAAAGATAATAAAATGTTTTAGATATAGTGAGCTGTGGATGAATTCATAAGTTTACTTGAAGGACTTTATAAAAGGGGAAAAAAAACGATGTATTTCCAAGATGTCAATCTTGTTTTTTTCATTTCACAGCAGACAGGAGCGTGTCACCGTCA